TAAAATATGGTTTCACCCCCGGGGGTCTCAAACATTAAAAAATGTATAAAAAAATACATCAGCTCATATTTTACGTCAATTGATTTACATAAGTTCAAAAATACTCAGTCGATCTGATGGGACATGGGACCTGCAGTGACCGAGCCAGGTTTACCACCGAATATCTGAGATTGCCCGATTTTCTAACCTAGTTATGAGATTTTTGCCCGAAAGACTTGCTTTCGGGGCTGCGAAACTGCCCCCTCTGCCCCCTTTGGCTCCGCCACTGGGGACCTGTGTGCTACAGTCTCGGCAGTCTGAAATGAAAATTTTACCACTGTAATAACAAATCAATTGTAATACAAAATCCGTGACGTATACAGAAAAACTTTTCATTTCTATGTAATGGTTGAATTGTTCTCTAAACAACATTGACGAGGCTACAAAGCCAAACTACACAAAAACAAAAAAATAAGAATTGAGTAAATTCCCGAGATTCTACAAGTATGATTTATAAAGTATATTATTTTTTAGTATTTTCCTCATGATTACAGTATTTCAGATTGTCCAGTCCGGTTGAATATTGTTTTCTTGACGAATCTGACGAAGGAATGACAGATGACCAGATGAATTAATTCACCATTAAAACTGACAAGGTAAAATCTCGTCTCACACATCAGCCAGTCAGATCACAACTTCTAAAACTATAAAAATATCAACTAGAGATACTAACTTCTTTAAAAACTATCACCCCGGGGCCCGTTGTTAAACAGTTAGTAACTTTGGCTCAGAGGGACTTACAGTCAGGCCGAATCTGAGAACAATTGAATACGGATTTACACAAAACATCAAACTGGTTACAAACTCTTTAAAAACTATCATCCGTTATTAAAAAGTTGGTAAAGGAGAACTCAGAGCGACTGTTTGTGAAACAGGTCGAATCTGAATAAGAAAGCTGGGTTTTCAACGACTGTCAATAATTCTTTGAAAATATCAACCGATGACCCGTTGTTGAACAGTTATTTAAACTCAGATATAAAACATAACTAAATCAGAATAAGGCAAGATAACTGACACACCACATTAAATGAAGAGGATGTTGTTTTAATTTTCTAAAATTTATATAATTATAGCTATAGTATAGTTCAGTATAGATATTTAATGAAATTAGTCAGACATATTGTAAACTTTTCAAATTTAAAATAGTTAAAACAATGCTTGGTATTACAACCATAGTAACAATAGATCACCTCTATATTCAATGCGTACACGAGCAACAAATTTAAAAACGGCCCTCCTGGCTACCTGTACTATAAAAATATCAAGTCGAGATAAAAACAGTGACAGAAAGCTGGAGAATATGATGGATTTATTGAAGATAGTTTTTAATTAAAAATATTTTGATATGAGATACAATATTCAACTATTTCTTACAGAATTTATAAACTCTGTCCTCGTCAAGGTTGTTTTAAGAAAAGTTGTCAAGTCAATATATTAAAATGCTTGGCATGCAGGTCATTTACCGATACTTTACTGTGATCCTAGAATAAAATACCTCTGGAATAGCCAGCAAGTTTCATTAAACTTTCTCTACCCCCTAATAATAACTTATAAAACTATTGCCAGATTCATAAAATAGAGAGGATTAGCGAGTCTATACACCCCTAACCGATCTTCATTGTATTATTATCTCGGTCTGTACAGGACTAGAAAACTATACCTAAATGAAACATTCTATTCTATGCCTTTCTGTGGGCAATGGAGCTTCTATAAACGGGGATTAGCGAGTTTACGAAGTTACATTCTATTTCATCCCTTATCTATACCTATTTTATTAAAATCTCAAACATTGCAGGACTGGAATTCTAGACCTCTAGGTGGGAAACGAAGAGATTAGCGATTCTATACGATTACATGAAAAACATTCTTTATCACTAATCTAGCCCTATTTTAACTGATGTGTGGTCTTCTTCACACTTTCTGTCAAATTTTTCACACGTAGCCGTC